TATGTACAATGAATAGGCGTACACATAGTTGTAGGCAGTATTGTTTCAAGTATGGATTGGTTAAAATGCAGTACATGCTACATATTGATGATGTGCATTGAGGGGTATGAAAGAGTCTGTGTGGGGTGTGTTAAGTGTTCATCAGCCTGATAGCCTGAGGGAAGAAGCTTTCCTTCAGCCGGCTGGTGCGTGAACAGATGCTGCGGAACCGTCTGTCTGAGGGTAGCAGAGAGCAAAGTCTATGGCTTGAGTGGCTGGAGTTGCTGATAATTCTCTTGGCCTTCCTCATACACCGCCTGGTGTAGATGTCCTAGAGGGAGGGAAGCTCACCTACTACTACGCGTCCAGCTCCTATGTAGGCCTTTGCGATTGCTGCTGGTGCTATTTCCATACCAGGTGGTGATACAGCCAGACAGGATGCTCTCCACAGTGCAGGTGTAGAACGAGTGGAGGATGTGAGGGCTCATTCCAAACCTCCTGAGATGCCTGAGGAAGAAGAGGTGTTGTTGTGCCTTCCTTAGCACTGCGTCTGTGTGAGCAGTCCATGTCAAATCCTCAGCGATGTGTACTCCAAGAAACTTGAAAGTGCTGACTCTCTCCACTGGTGTCCCATTGATGGTGATGAGGATTTCTTCTCTCTCTTGAAATCCACCACCAGCTCCTTGGTTTTGCTGATGTTGAGTGAGAGGTGGTTTTCCTGACACCGCTGCGTCAGAGTATGCACCTCCTCTCTGTAGGCCGTCTCATCATTATCAGTGATTAGGCCCACCACCGTTGTGTCATCAGCAAATTTAACGATGACGTTGGAGCTGTGTTTGGCTGTACAGTCATGTGTTTACAGGAAGTACAGGAGTGGGCTGAGAACACAGCCCTGTGGAGCACCAGTGTTGAGGATCAGTGTGGATGAAGTAATGTTGTTCATTCTGACCATCTGGCGTCTGCTTGACAGGAAGTCCAGGATCCAGTTGCACAGAGAACTGTGTAGACCCAGAGCCTGGAGCTTCACCACCAGCTTGGCTGGCATTATGGTGTTGAATATTGAGCTGTAGTCCACAAACAGCATTCTCACATATGTGTTTTTGTTTTCCAGGTGAGACAGAGCAGTGTGCAAGGTGAAAGCAATTGCATCATTAGTGGAGCAGTTATTCCTGTATGCAAGTTGCAGAGGGTCAGTGTGAGCGTGCAGTACAGAGCAGATGTGGTTTTTAATCAGCTTCTCAAAGCACTTGCTGAAGCAACCGGTTTTAAAGCAACCGGACACCAGTCATTCAAACATGTGGTTTAGCTGATTTCGGTATGGGCACAATAGTAGCTGTCTTAAAGCATGTGGGAACCACAGACCGAGAGATCGAGAGGTTAAAGATGTCCGTGATAAACTCCCGCTAGCTGGTGTGTGCATGCTTTATGTACATGTCCAGGGATGCCATTTGGACCTGTAGCTTTCCGGAGGTTCATGCGACGAAAAGATCTCGTTATGTCCGCTACAGAAGTGTGCTAGTGGATTCGGTATCGGCCGCAGGAGCGCGCATTGTGTTTGCGCTCTCTTGGGCTTTAAAGCGGGCGTAGAACGAGTTGAGCTCGTCCGGGAGAGACGCAGCAAGGCTTAGTGGCGGATTTGTTACTTTTAAAGTCTGTGATGTGATTAAGTCCCTGCCACAAGCTCCTTGTGTTATTGGTGTTAAATTGACCCTCTACTTTGTCTCTGTATTGACGTTTTGCTGCTTTGATGGTTTTCCTGAGGTTGTAATTTGCTTGTTTTTGTTCCTCAGCATTTCTGGATTTATAGGCGGAAGCTTGCACTTATAGGGCTGATTGAACTTCGCTATTGATCCATGGTGTTTAGTTGGGGTAGATACAGACAGTTTTTGTTGGGACCAAGTCTTCTAATCATTTCCTGATGAAGCATGTAACAGTGTCTGAGTACACTTCTATGTCGTCTTTAAAAGCTGCTCGGAACATATCTCAGTCCACGTGATCAAAACAGTCTTGAAGTATAGAATCAGATTGGTCCTTCCAGCTCTGAAACGTCCTGAGGATGGGTGGTTTCCGTTTCAGTTTCTGCCTGTAAGCAGGCAAGAGCAGAACAGAAGAGAGATCTGATTTGCCAAACAGTGGGCAGGGGAGAGATTTGTAGCCGTCCTGGAATGGAGAGTAGCATTTGTCCAGAATGCGATCACCACGCATTTGATGATGTGTTTTGGAGCGATTTTCCTGAGATTGGCGTTGTTAAAGTCTCCTGTAACAATAAACGCTGCCTCCGAGTGTGCAGTTTCCTGCTTGCTTATGCTCCCGTACAGTTCCCTGAGCACCTGCTCTGTGTTGGCTTGAGGGGGGATGTAGACAGCCGTAATTATAACAGCTGTAAACTCCCTTGGTCGCCAGTATGGTCGACACTGAAGCATAAGAAATTCCAGATCAGGAAAACAAAATGATCTAACTGGGAGTATGTTCCTCTCATCACACCATGAGATGTTAATAAAGAAACAAACATCTCCTCCTTTGCTTTTCCCTGTGAGTTCTTTCGTTCTATTCGCGCGGTGCACAGAGAATCCCGAAAGTTCAGCAGCTGTGTCTGGTACTTCCGCAGATATCGAGGATTCTGTAATTCAAATAATGCAGCAGTGCCATGTTTCCCGTTGGAAGGAAATGCGTGCCCGTAGCTTGCAAAGTTTGTTGTCCAGTGACTGAACGTTAGCCAGCAGAGTGGTGGGTAGCGGAGGTTGAAATCCACGGCGTCTTAGTCGGACGAGGATGCCGGCTCTTTCCTCATTACCGGCTGCGTTTCCGTCGTCGCTTTGGTTGTGTGACCCAGACAAAGGGCTCTGTTGCTGTGTTTGTAAACAGCGTCGTTAAAGAACTCAAAATCTGGTCTTCGATGTGCAACGAGGGAGCCAATTTCCTGAAGTATGTTGTAGGTCATGAGAGTGTGTACATCCAGCAAGAAAAACGACAAAAATACAAGTAAAACGCACAAAACAAAACAAAGTTTTCTGGGAGCTCGGAACACGACAGCCATGCTTGGCGTCATAGACAAGAAAAAATAAAGTAGTGACTGCAGGTTGAAGGAAAGTATTGGAGAAAAAATACTAATACACTAAAAATGTATTGAAGGGAAAGTAAAAGTACACATTTATAAAACTACTTAGTAAAAGACAATTTCTGGGAAAAACTACTCGCAGTAATTTGAGAATTTGTAATTTATTATCTTACACCTCTGGTGCCATTGATGATGTCATTGATACAAACACTAAACACTATCATGGTAAAATGGACACTAAACTGAATCCTGAAAAAGTCAGTTTACAGTTATTCACCGTGTACAGTGTGGATGTTAACCAGCAAACTGATTTTTACTGTAGCATTCTTACTAATAAAATCACAGCCATTTATTTTACGGTGCATACTTGACATTTTATTTTCGCAAAAGCTATTTTACCATTAAAAAGGATATGCTACTTTAATTACTGCACTTTCTGTAAATTCAAAATTATATCATTTTAATTTGATACTAGAATATAAATCAGATACTAGAAGTGAGACGTCTCATTTTTCACCCATATATAAAATCTGTTTTTTATTTCTGTTTTTTTTTTTTTTTTTATATATATATAAATGTAGCTTCAGAGAGTGCCGCACAATCTAACGTTGCAGTTCTTTTGTCAGTCTTCTGCTGTGGTTGATTGCATGCGAGTGTGAATGATTGCATGTCAACACTCCACGCTGAAAGGCAGAAAATTGTATCTCTTGATGCGTCACAGACCAGTTGATTTTTTTAAACGTGATTTATTTAAGAGAAATAAAATAGCATTGTCATTTTGACCTTTAAAATACAATTCCTAGTAATAACTGAAAAGCCATCATGAACCCACACATGCAGATGTTACTCACCCCTATAGTCCATAAGAAGTTCAGTGTTTTCGTCCTGCACTCAGAATGACTTCCGAATGTAGATAAGGACTCAGGAATCATTAGAGCAACTTTGTGGCAGCCGTCTCTAGTTAATGAACCATGGCTTCATCATATGACAATTTCAGAAATAATTCATCATGAACAGAGCAGTCGAGACGTATAGTCACAGGTTTGAGTCATCCTGAGCCTCAGCATCAGTGACTAATAGACAGAATGACCCGGTCATAGTTGTAGTTTTAAAAAAACAACACCAACTCTTGTGTTTGTAGAGTTGATGGTTTGATACATTTAACCATTTAATGGGCATCATAACCACCTGGTTGACCTTTTGTCTATAGATTAGGATTAAAACAAAAAACTTAATATAACCAAAAATATTGGTCAAAATTTTTTTTCTTAGAGTTGAATTTAAACTAATTTGCATATCAGTGACGTCATCATATCTGACAAGTGTACATCCAGATGCACAATAAACAGGCTCTTATTAACATATTACTTTGCGTGATGACGTCATTGCATAATGGAAACTCAAAACTACATCTTTATGTTGTATACAAAATAATAGTTTTCTCAAATTGACTAGCCATCTCAGCAAAAACATGATTTGAAATATGTTCGTTTAGATTTGTATGAAAAATAGATCTGACTATTAGTAAAAGTGATACAAACACTTTAAGAATTTTTATTTTTAAATATATATTACTAATAATGAACATACTTACAGTTACTTTCTTTTAAACATTTACAGGTTGTGTACTTCCTCTTTTTAACTTGTGAAAATAACACATTTGTGAAAGTGACAACAATTATAGCACTATTGGAATTTATTGCTACCTAAATTACCAACAATTATACGTTTATACACTTATTTTAGCATTTTAATTAGTTTTAGAGTTGGTTTTAATGTTTAAGAATGTTTAATTCATTTGTTAGATGAAACTAAACTGTTACATAACCAGAAATCTATAAAACTGAATTTTGATTGAACCCAGAATATTCTGTTCTTCTTTTGTACTTAAAACTACAGTTACAATGACAGTGAGACCTAAATGATTTCTTTTTGAATGCAATGTTCCATGTTGTCATTACAGAGTCTGATGATATGAAATTTGACCCATTTGGCACATCCACCGTCAGCAGTCTAGGCAGCTATGACTGGTCCGACAAGGACGATCTCCCATCGGGGCAAGGTAAGAAGCTCCAGGGTGGGTCTCAAGGTAGCCTGCCCTCTTCAGCTGTTGTCCAGAGGAAGGAGACGTCTTTTGGGAGCTCGGAAAACATCACACACACCACAGTCGCCAAGGTCACCACCTTCCCAATCGAAGACAATAGCTCAACCAGCGAAAGCCAGTTTGAAGCCTTCGCTGACTTTGGCTCCATTGAGCAGGCTGGACAAGATGATGATGATGACTTCGGTGACTTCGCCAGTACGGTTTCAGAGAAATCGGACTCTCCTCCTAGTGCCACAGAAGCAGAGGGCAACCAGGGCGAAATGACAGATGAGTTCGGAGCCTTTCAAGGTGACAAGCCCAAATTTGGCAAGTCAGACTTTTTGAAGGCCAGCACACAGGCTAAGGTGAAATCCAGCGAGGAGATGATCAAGAACGAACTTGCCACCTTCGACTTGTCAGTGCAAGGTAGGTGTATCCCAATATTTTGTCTTATTTTGAAGGCTGCAACCTACCAAGGTCACATTTGTCAGCTGCTTTACATTTCATATCCCAATTAAGGAAAATATCCATTAACAAAACTGACTTCTATTCATAGTAAGGTTTTAATAATTGTAATTGCTTTACACTGGAATGTCATGGTTACTTTTGAACGTTTCCCTTTTCTATTCAGATGGCAAAAAACGTTAAAAAGAGATTTAAAGGGTGTTACATAAAATTCTGTACAAAAATGAATTTTCTATTAAATAATAACTCAACAGGAAAAAAAATTCTTAATGTTTATTGATAATGAAATTATATTTTGCTGAGTGTGTTTTTGTGCTAGTACCTTGATACTGCTGATTTAGGCAGGCCATGGACAAGTAAGACTGTCCAGATTCATTCAGAATGACGTATTTATTTATTTATTTAATTATTTATTTATTTCAAAACAGTATCAACAATAAAAAAAAAGAAATCATCTTTATAAGTACATCACTAAATTATCAACTTGCCTGAATAGTTTTTTTTTAAATATTATATTTTTATTTTGACCTTAAAGCAACACAGACCGATACAAATAGCAATAACCATTATAACGACAGAAATGAAATGCAAACAAAACAAAAAAAGACAAAAAACCATTTAAAACCATTATTACATCAGTTTCTCCAGTATTACACATAGGTTAACAATGTCACACATGTATATCTAGGCCAGTGGGTACAGGCAATACGATGACAGGGTTATAACTTTAAACTGTTATCTTTGGCATTTGTCAGATAATTAAAAAAGGGTTTCCAGGTGGCTTCGAAGCCAGCAATGTTATCAGAAAGATTGTGTCTAAAGCCGCCTTTCCACTGCACACGACATTTGGACACGACTGTCGGAATACATCCCCTTGTGACTGTCGCATAAAATTTTCAGTATTGTCGTGCACCATGGGAGAGAAGCTGTTCTCACAGTGTCCAAAATAAAAGAGTGAAAAAGCAAGAGCCTTTATTCTCCGTGCGTTCACCATGGATGAATGAATGAATACTAGAAACCAGTCAGACCGCTAAATATTTCGGAGGAAATGTGGAGACAACATAAAGAAATAATATTCTTTATTAGTCATTTATGAATAGAATTTTTTTTTTGATAGAAACTTTTTTCTGATTAAAACAATTATGAAAAAACGTCTATTTCTCATCTCACGTGCACCGATCTGCTTGGACAACACTGAAATACATCACATCCGGTCGGCCGGTCCCATACGGTCTAGTTGCAGGAGTTTAAATATTTCAACATATCCGCAGCTCAATTCGGTTCTGAATGTTCCACATACGGAGATTATTGGAACTCTACGCAGCTCTCGGACTACTCTCCATTGGAAATGAATGACTTCCCATTTGTCGATCGTCATGCAGTGGAAAGGAGGCCTAAGTCTCTAAATGTAAAGTGCTAGAAAATTCTGAAAGCCAGAATTCATAAAGTGGTTTTGTTGCTTTTCCATAGACAAAGAGTATTTTTTAGCTATCATCATTCCATATTCCATATTGGACAGCTTTTTTAATTCGTTAACTGAACCCACAAAGTGAGTCAGACAAACTGAAAACAGCGATTGATTGATCAGGGGCAAGATCACAAGAATAAGCCTTATAGGAGAAGCTTAAAAATGTTGCTCTAAAACTCATTTGTTACATTTATAAGAGATAGAGGGGAAAGCCAATTTACTTTATATGCCTGAATATATTTTTTATAATTGTATTAATTTAGGAACAAAACAGCATTGCTCAGATGCTCTTTTACGCAGTAAATGTATTAATGCCTTCTTGTTCTGCAGAGCGAGTTATGAAGAATTTTTTTTCCGTGGCATTTTAAAAAATTTAATTGAAGTGTTATAAACCATGAACCAAACCAACAAGGTATGCAGAAAATCACAAAGTTACAAACTTTGATTTGAAGCAAAACAGTAATTGAAAATCAGATCAAAAGTCAAATGTACAAGACTGTGTACAGCTTTAAGATGTGAAATAACTGAAGTCCCAAGAAAAATTTAAATGACAGGAAAATTATGTTGTATGTATATAGAATTTTGAGAATGTAGAGACCGATTTGATGTAATTTGCAGTGCTTAAGATCCATATTGGCACCCTTTGGTAACAGCGACTTTCTGATTTTCCGCCAAGCGTAATTAAATTAGTTGCAATAATTAGTTATATAAGGAGTTTAAACAGTTACATAACAATAATGTGTGGATATAGCCAGCCTTAATAGTAAAAATTTAATAATACTTTTTTGACATTATCTTTTTGTAAATGTCATCAGAGGGGGAAAGTCCCACCCATTAGTAATGAACACTGTAGTCTCCATACAGAGATCTGTGCAGGACTGAATTTTTAGTCCCGCTTCCGTCAGGTTTTATTCCGCACCCGACCGCTCCCGCTGTGTATTCAGCCTTTGTTCACCTGCTGCCTGACTCACCCCATTTTCTACCCAACCCAACCATTTCCGCTAAATTTAGAACTGGTTTCCAAAATCTCACATTAAAATTTTGCACTACTAAAAGTACAAGCTAACAGATAAAAGGGTAGGTTGTGCAATAATTGTAGGCTAAATGTGAGTTTTGATTGCCCCTTTGTGATGAGACATAAGTGCCGCCTTAATCAGTGACATGCGTTGAGGATTGTGGCTGTTGAGGCACTGACTCCACTCAATATATTTGCCAACTACCGATTGTGTTTCATACATCATATCAGCATTATTTCTATACACATAGCAGGTACATATTGGGCCAAGGAAGAATGTGAAATGTATAGCGATTAAATATACCTTTCAAAAAACACTCAGCGCAACCTCTTTTTCATTGACACACACAGCACCACGGCGAATGCACACACTCTCTTTCATTTACACACACACAGCACTACGGCGGATGCGCATGCTCTCTCTCTCTTTCTCTCTCTCTACTTTTCGGGAACGCTATATTGTAAGACCACCTGCTCCAATTCAAATTACACTAGAGTTACTGACCGATACCGCATTTTTTTGGAAATTTATTCCCATCCAGCAAGATATCTGGTCGGGTCCCGCTATGCATACCGTTATCTCCATAGACTAGCTTCTTCTGAGAGTTTCGAGTATTTTGAATCTACCACTATACTAATGCATGTGGTTTGTAGTTCCTCTCTTGTTTGAAAAGAGGGCATGGCGTACAATCTTATGAGAATTTAAAGTGACAGTCACCAAAATGGCACAATTTGGATCAAAGCCTAAAAGGGACTTTTTAAAATAGTTTAAGCTTCACATACTGACTGTAGGGACATCAACGACTTATTTTACATATTGTAAAAAGGGGCATAATAGGCCCCCTTTAAGATTTTCTGCATGAATTTGACTCTAAAACAGAATATGCTTTAAAAATAACTTGAATTAAAGTAACCAAATGGGTTCACCAAAATCACATACCATTCATAATCAACCTCAGAGCTCACAACAGGTCAGTCTTTAAAGGTTTATCAGTTAAAAATCAATTCCTCTATAGAAAAAATAAATAAATAAAAGCATTACTTGCAGAACCCAACTGTTGCACACTATTAATAGTGAATGAGACCTAAAGATTGCATTGTTTCCCGTGCATCTCCTGAGCTGCATTCTCTCTGAAAGTCAACAGATGGCAGAGTGGTGTCTGAAGCACATACTGAACGCCAACATACAAAGACAGCCACCCAAATCCCTCCTCACTTTTCCCCCTCTGGCTTTTTCATCCTCACTCCCCCCCCATAATGCATTAGCACTTACTCAATAACATAAAAGCTTATTTGCCTCTTATTGATCCCCACCCACATCCGCTAAATTTCATTTGTTCAAACAAAAGAGGGTTTACTCCTCTGTCGCGCTTCCATCAGACAGTTAATCTGAGGAATGGGCTTCGTGCAGCAATGGATTAGCGTCTGGAAGCATGCAGAGACTGATGTGAATCCCTGCAGGGGTTTGATTACCTGTCTCTGTGCCGGTGTCCGTCTCCCTGCTTATGTGTGCCCGCCGCATGTTCTGTGTCTTGACTGAGTGGTGCCTGATGAATAATGTATGCCCATATTACTATGCTGCTCTTTTCCACATAATTATCATTTGTTGCAAATTAGGTGTTTGTGGTCTGTGTTGTGGCCCCACGCGGATTAGCGACGACAGCCTGAGTGCTTCGGAAAGTTTTAATTATACAGCAGGACCAACAATTAAACTCGTATATTAAATCTAGAGAGGGTAGTAGGGTAGGAAGTGTCATTTTATGTGTCTCACAACCATATATTTGTATCGATCAATGACAGATTGCTTTTTTAATTTCAATATTACATGCAGATGCATTTCAAATGCATTTTATATAGTTTTAATGCACTTGCTCTTGAGCATGTTTAAATAATTTGAATAATTTTTAATTCATTAAAATTCATTTACATGCCAATGTAATATAAATCAACTGCCAGTACTAATTCAATTAAAAGAAGTTTTTAAATAGAAAAGGTCAAGTTGTTTGACAGAATCTTATTATTATTTCTTGAGAAAAAAAAGAAAAGATTTTATTACTGCTTAATATTTGTTTTTTATGGATCAAACCAAAGCAAAGTTTTGTAAAAAAAAAATAATTAAAAAAAAATAATAATAAATAAATAAACTTGTAAAATTCAATGTGGTATAATTCTAAAGTATAATTTTATTATTATTTTAATCTTATTATAGTATATATTAATATTAGTTATTTTATTATGGCCTAATCTAAATTTTATTTTTCTACCCCTTCCCCTTGAAATAGAGTGTGAAGGGGAAGGGCTTCAATTTTACCCCTAAGAATTGAACCCCTAGAACAGGGGTAGGGTTGTAACGGTATGAATTTTTCACGGTATGATAATCGTCTAAAACAATACCACGGTTTGACGGTTTCACGGTATACGGTATGTTACAAATGTTACAAAATAATAGAACAGTGAAGCAAATTTGACTTTTTCCAA